CAGGACGTACTGGAGGAAATGACACATTAATGTGTAGGACATAGGTTTTTAGCAGGGTGAGAATAAAATCCATGCAAGTGATAGAGCCTTGGGAACTTGACATTTTTTGTATACTCTTCTTTAATACTTGGCTGCATACATATTTCATTTACCCAGGAAGCCATGCAAAAGATCATGCCAAAAGAAATCTGATTTAAAATAGAGACTTACAGAATTACACATATATGTTTGTAAAAAACTTTGTCCCCACCCCCACCCCTCAAAAACACCGTGAATTTGGTGTATATTTGTTGTGCTAAACTGATTGCCAAAAGACTTCATAAATAATGAGGTAAGTGAATATTTACCGGTTTGCATCAAGAAACTCTCTTCCTCTCTTTGTAAAGTGACTGTTGCCTAAAATACCCAGATATTTGAAGCAAGTCTTAATCTTTTATATTCTGGAGAACATCTTGTTTGATCTCTTTTAGATGCTTAACTCATTGATGAACATGTACAAGGTTTGCAGAAATGATTGACTGATTGCTTTCTTGATGACTGGTTATTGCTGGGCTGGTTTTTAGAAAGGAAAATAAGACTTGTGTGCCCATAGCCAGCAAGTATTCATGGCTCTCCACACTCCAAGCTCTGGGCTGTTTTCCTGGGAGGGGGAGGAACTTGATCTGATTGACCAGTTCTCCAGCTAGCCCTTCTGGTGACCAGCGTTATTCACTTCCCCTCAAGGTAGGGAATGCTGAGGAATGTGCCCGAGTTTTTCCACAGTTACCTCCTCCTGGAATTTTTCCTCCAGCCAGCTGGCTCATCTCAGCATTGAACTCAAATGCAAGAGAGTTAAGAAAGCTAGCATGGAAAACAAGCAAATGAAATGTGGGTAGCTTCTGGCTTGTCCATAAAAAGAGAGGTATAGTAGAGGTGTATAGAGAGGTATGGTAGAAAGTGGGTTCAAATCCTGCCATTGCCGTTTACTAGCCATGCAATACTGGGCTTCTCCAGCCTCTTGTATCTTCATCTTTAAAGTGGTATCGCCAGTATACAATATCCAGTTCTCATGAAATTAAATGAGTATGTGCCATTGGTTGGAGGTGGAATTTGGTGAGTGAGGTAGTGAACCAGCATTAAAAATTCAACTCAAGATATGCAAAGCAGCCCTGGCTGGTGTGGCTCAGTGGATTGAGCACTGGCCTGTGAACCAAAAGGTTGCTGATTCGATTCCAAGTCACAGCACATACCTGGGTTGCAGGCCAGGTCCCTAACAAGGGGCACATGAGAGGCAACTGCACATTGATGTTTCTCTCCCTCTCTTTCTCCCTCCCTTCCCCTTTCTAAAATAAATAAATAAAATCTTTTTTTAAAAAGATATGCAAAACAATGAAACATACAAACATATCACTGTAATTGGAAGACCAATCACAGCACTTGTAGCAATTGTACAAGATAGACTTTATTTGGGTTTCAAGCTGACAGATTATTTTCACGGTAAAGATGTTAGAATGTCTTCCATGGGTCTGGTTTAGCTAAGCCCAGATCAAAAGAAGCAAAAGAGACCCGTGAAGATCATTATCTGTACGCCTTGTTCTGGAATGCATTTCTCCGATCCACGTTTAGGTGAACACTAGCTGTGGTGACACACTCCGTAAACACCGACACGCCCCAGAAACCACCTATCTGGCCCTTGCCCCGTGCTCTTTTCTTCCCTGTATTCTCAAGTGACAAGGCGCAAAGCAAACTTTCCCCTTTCCAGGCATGTAGGACGCTTCCTGCAAAAGTTCCCTTTTCTGCAGAGTGACTGAGCACTTCTCTTTGTCCTCAGACACTCTGACCTCTGGTGTAGAGCTTCGTCTCCAGTCTCACAGGGCCCGGGAAAGGCGGTGGTCGTTAGTGGAAGGGAGAGGGGTAGTGACCCACTACTCACTTTGGGTTTTGTCTTCTAAGCTCTTCCTCCGTTTTCTCCTATCACGGCCATTCTGCCTCAGGCCTGGTGTGTGGACAGATTAGCTACATCTGCCCTGCTGTTGCCCTGAAGGCAGCGTGTGGCCTTGTTGCTGGTGGTCCCTTTGGTTTTACAAGCCTGTCTCAGAGAGAAGGGGAGTGGTTAGCATTGGAAGGAAGGAGGAGGAAGACGCTGGGGCACCAGGAACAGAGGTGGAGCAGCAGCCCCTGTCAGGGGAAGGACCTATATGGAGAATTGGTTAATGAAGATATCCTCCCCCCACACACCCCTTCCTTGAAACCATAGCAGCTGCTGCTTTATTCTCTCTCAAAGGGAAAAAGTGTGACGAGGTTGGTGAGGCATCTCATTTGACTATTGAGTCTCCTTCTGGGGTCACTGCTAAAAAAAAAAATGCCTCAATAGTTGTCTTCAGCTGTTTTGGAATTAGAAAGTAGGGACAAAAGACTTTCATGTTGGTTTTCATTTAAAATTTTAAACTAAACCCCTGTGGACTTGGTTTCCTAGAGCTGATCACCCTTTAGCTGTGGATTCTGGGATAACCTCCCCGACCCTCCACCCTTGGTGGGAGTGGGGTGCAGGGGGCGGGGTTGCAGCCTCCTCCTCCTTTCTGCCACATTGGTTCCAGTGCTCTGCATTGAGCACTCAGCGCTCTCTCTGAATAGCTGTGGTTAGGGAGCCGTGGGCAGGAGCGGCAGAGAAGAGCTGGAGTGAGGACGGAGCAGCCCACAGAATAGAAGCAAGAGGGAAGGAAAGCAATCGGAGGTAGAACATTCCGCTGCCTGTACCCCCTAGCAGAGCTACCCAGACCACTGCGTCCACACCGCTCCCCGCCGAAGAGGGGCAGGCATCAGTGGTGACAAGCTCGGGCAACGGTGGGGAAGAGAGGGCCTGTTCTGAAGGCAATTACGTCAGGCACAGGGAAACCAAGATATGTTTGAGATGGGATTCAGGCCTGAGGATGAAAGTGGGGGATGGGACACTCTGGAAACAGATTAGCTCGTTTTTAATGCTGACGTGTTGAAGCGGCACCATCCCCACAAATGGATGCTTATTCCTCGGGTCCAGGAAGCCAAAAGCAAGGCTAAAGGAAGCTAAGTTCATACATTAAAGCCAGAGTTGGCCTCCTGGTTTGTGGGAGCTGCAATTGTTTTTCTGGAGGGAAGGAGGTGCAGAAAGTACACTATGTTCCTGGCTGGCGTAGCTCAGTGGATTGAGCACAGGCTGCGAACCAGGCATCGCAGGTTCGATTCCCAGTCAGGGCACATGCCTAGGTTGCAGGCCATGGCCCTCAGCAACCGCACATTGATGTTTCTCTCTCTCTTTCTCGCTCCCTTCCCTCTCTAAAATAATAATAATAATAAATTAATTAATTAAAAAAGAAAGTACACTAAGCTTAGTCACATAAGCTCTGGGTCCAAGCTTCCACTCCGTTTTCTCTGGTGTTAACTGTGGCCTTAGGCAGGGGTATCCAACAACCTTTGGCCCAATACAAAATCATAAATTTACTCAAAACATTATGAGATTTTTTTTTATAATCATGTGTTGCGATGTATTTAATGTGTGGCCCAAGACAACTCTTCTTCTTCCAGTGTGGCCCAGAGACATCAGAATGTTGGACACCCCTGCCTCAGAGAGCTACTTAGTTGTTTTTTAATCTGCCTTTTAGGCAGTTGTGGTTAAAAATAAGAATATATCAGGTACTAAGCAAGTGCTTAATATGAAAATCAAGACAATATGATTCGAATACAAATGAAATTATAAATGGAAGATCATGGCTTCAATGTCCACATAAGCTCATTGCTATTGTATTAAGATTTGGGGGGGCAAATCCAGCCAGTTGTCTGGCGATCACAGACACTGTTTTTTCAATACTTTACCTTAGTCTAAATATTTTGGCATGAACAAGGTCACAGCCTGAAGAGTAAACCATTATTAGAATCTGATACTGATCATTGAAATAAAATACAAACTTTTCACATATTTCTAGAAACACAATTTTGAATAGTAAAGAAAGTAGTAAAATTAACTATAATTAGATTTTCCTATGGTTGGATCTTACCATTTTAGAGGGAAGAGAAAGAAGGAAGAAAAAGCTAATGAAACAGAAGAGCCCATAATCTTATCTTTTGAGATGTTTGTGCCCTTTACCTTTTTTCCATCACAGCGGCATTGAGATAAGTTTTGTTTGCTAGAACAGTTAGGAAAATCTTAAAAGTCATGCCTCCTAAGATAACACCTTGCTTGAGGTAAACTTTGAAAATGTCCTGAAAATGAGGAGGAGAAGAATCTTTAACACAAGAGGAAGTACTCCAGGACTGGGTGACAAGGTGCTGGAAGGCAGGTACAAAAAGGAGAAGCCCCCCATCCCAGTAATTCTTTAGAAAACGCTTTGATTAAGTGAGATTAAATGAAACAGCAGAGAAGCTATTTGAGAACTTTGGCCTTGTCACCCAATATCTACCTAAAATACAAAATGAAGATCAATCAGTAGGTAATGGGAATAATGGCTTAAATTTTATAAGATCAAAAAAAAAAAAAGGACTCTCCAGTATATTTATAAAATCCTAACTCTTTTAAAAGAATTTAATGGCAGTTCCTCTGTGTGAGTCACCACAGGGCTTGGACTTGAGCAATGCTTAGAGTACCCTGCCAGAGAGTGTTTTAAGTGCCTCTCTCTTTGTCCACAGACACACACTCAACACACTACTATTCACACTCGTAGCTCCCCCAGCTAGTAGCAACCTGGGAAAGAACTTGATGGCCCTTTCAGATCATTAGGGAGACACGTGAAATCCATTCTGACGGCAGAACACAGGTGCTGTGTGTCTGCAAACACCGTCGGTGCAGGGCCTTCCTGTGGCTTTTCCCTTTCACCTTGAGTGATGCTCGGACTACATTTGCTACCCAGTTCTCATAACGTGTGTAAAATCCTGTGGCCGGGTGGGCTGCGGGTAGGGAAGTGTAGAAGGAAATACGGTTCCCATCACCTTCCACTGGAGAATTCCCTGGACTGACTTCCTGAAAATGTCCTTCTGTTTGCCTTCCCCAGGAATGGCGGCCCTAGATAGTAAGGCATCAGGGAAGATGGGAATGCGAGCTGTAGTCTATTACATGACTACGACCATCATTGCCGTGGTGATCGGCATAATCATTGTCATCATCATCCATCCCGGGAAGGGCACAAAGGAAAACATGCACAGAGAAGGCAAAATTGTACAAGTGACAGCTGCAGATGCCTTCCTGGACTTGATCAGGTATGTCCTTGCAAGCCCATCCCTTCGGGTATATTTTGACCACCCAACCCCTCTGATCTGGGGGAGCTAATCAAATCCTGAAGATGGTGTCCAATCTGAACCAGCTTGGCTGGGCTTGAAATGAGGGTCACAACTTTCCTTCATTCTAACAGAATTTGAAGTAAGGATCCATTATTTGCTCTTATGTGAAAGTGATAAGAAGAGTGAGGAGTGGATATGAATGAGTTTTGAGAGCTCTGCTTTTAGGATTCAGCATCCGATCACTCAGTTCTCCTCTCAGCTGTGCAACTCACCTTGGAACAGTTATAATTCTTCACTCACTTTTCTCAGGTCTTGCTCTTTAAGGCTACTTTTCATTCCAGGGCAAGCTGTTTGTGAGACTCCTCTAATTTAGAACTCGTGATCTGAATGATCATCTATTGTAAACAACAATTTCTTTCCAAAGGGGACTTTACAATCATCTGTTCATACCTGTTTTAAGGTCTTTTTCTTTTGTACTATTTATGAAGATAGAAGTTGGCAGATCAGTACTAAAAGAATAAAGAATGGCTTCTTTAGCATTGTTTTATGTACAAATCACACGCTGATTATAACTGAGTCTTATCTAATATTGAAACAGGCTTTACAATAGAGTTAATCTTACACAGAACTATGACATAAGCCAAATGTGATCTGGAACCTTCCTGCTCACTCCACGCTTGCATCAGTCAGGTCCTGGCAGGAAGCATATTGCATTTTTGAAAAGATCATTGAAAAGGGCTTGCAACAGTGCAAGCAGCATTAAGGGGACCTACAAGGGCCAGTGACGTACCAGATCACTAGCAGGGATGGGAAGCTGTTTCATTACCACCCCTAGCTCTGAGGGGTGAAAGCATGAGCTGCCACTGGAACTCAGGAAGAGCTGTGACCTTGGGAGAAGGCCCTGAGGAGAGAGGCTAGGGCTCTCGTTTGGAGCAGGGGAGCTGCTGCTCAACCTGTCAAAGAGAGAGCTGGGAGGGTATGAACATCACTTCTCTCTTTCCCACCCTGTAATTATTCAGAGCATCCCACTGGACAAACCCAACAGGAAGCCATATGGCAAGAGCACCCACAGGCTGCAGGCCAAGGGCTCAGCCCCCCCAGGGCACAGAAAGAGTAGAGAGTGGATCTAGAAGGGTGAATGGAAGATATCCCAGCACAGGCTCTAGATCCCCCACCTGCTTAGCATCCCCCACCCACCGTGTAGCCCCACCCATCCTGTCGTCCCCAAACCTAGCCCTTTCCTAGAATCCTTACAACAACATACTTGCAAAGTGACTGGTTTGCCAATCCTGCACACCAACCCTAAAGGGATGCCCATGGATCACCTGAAAGAAACTCCTCCCAGGGGCTTGATTTCACATAGACTCAGGAGAGGTTTGGGGAACAAGGGTTTCTGTGACCACACCTCTCAGTTCCTCCCACGGGTGACTTGGTACCACCTGTGTGTGAGCTCGACCCAGCCCCACAGAGCCTCCTCTTGAAAGCCTTGTTCAGGGAGTCAATCACAATGATCTGAAGGTAACAAGCTACCCTATAAAATTCCATATCAAGTTTTCACCCAATAACTATGTTTTTATTTAGTTCGTACACTTTATTAAGGCTTTTCACCATTTTTTTCATCACTTTATTTATCCTCAGGTAGTTTGAATTAGAAGGAATTTTTTTTTCCTTCTGATTGAATTTATTGGGGGCTGCCACTGGTTTACAAAAGTATTCAGGCTTCAGGTGCAGAGTTCCCTGGCACATTATCCGTATACTGTATTGTGTGTCCACCAAACTGAGTCAGGCCTCCTTCTAGAAGTTTTTCTTATTATATTCTCTTTCTGTATCATTTCTATTCCTTGTGTGAAGAATTGAGATCTTGTCATTCACGTCTAGATGATGCTTCTGCCCTTCCTTGTCCCAGCGGCGACTGTATGACCGACCTGTCCCCACCCAATCACTTGGCTTAAGCATCTGCCCTGAGATCTCCAGAACTCACATTTGTGTCAAGGTTTATGGAAACAGATCCACAGAGCGTGGATGGGAAGGAAAAGGAAACAAGATGGTCTAGGCAGTAGGAAGAAAGGGACAAGAATTGACAGCCTTCAAGTGTGACTTTGACAGCATTGCGACTGCCAGTTTCAGGCTCTGCAACTGCCAGGGTCCTGTCTCCGTGTCCCACAGTCTTTCAATCCTGGAGCGCTTGTGCAAGTTTAATGCAATTTCCTCTTTAGCGGATGAGTCAGCTGAGACCTAAATGGGTCCCACGACTTGGTCAAGGTTGTATGTCTGGTTAGAGACTCCCCAGCTAGACTCTTGCTCCTTATCCTCTCCCCACCATAAACTCAAACACTGCTCCGAGGAAGTCACAGATCTAGCTACACAGGACGCAAGGTCAAATTTTGTGGTCCTTCTTCCCAGTAGTCAACAGAAGAGCCCCATCCCCCAGGGGACCTTGAGGAGGACTTTTCAGGGAATGAAATTCCACAGTGTAACCATGACTTTTAATTCAGAATGCTGTATTTGGTCCCTAGACATACGGCGCAATACCAAAGTGACCATTATGCAATAATACTGCAATTAACCAGAGGGCTTTTGGCAAAAGACATTTCCATCCTCACTTTGATTTTTCTAAGGAGCAAGGTTTTAATGGCAATGTCTGGTCAAAGAATCCCATTGTCTGATGAGAAAACAGATGTATTGAATTTGGGATTTTCCTGAAAAATATGAATTACACGGGCCACAGGTAGGGGTGGCCATGTGTCCCATTTTAAGTTATAAAATCCACAAAAAATCTTTCTCATTTTCCATTTGCTGCCCAGTTCAATGCAGTCTTTACGATAAGCACAATGAAACAGTGTTTAAGGAGGTAACTCATTGGTTGGGAGATTGCATAAGTCACTGTCACTTTCTTTGCAGGAATATGTTCCCCCCAAACCTGGTGGAAGCCTGCTTCAAACAGGTAAACACTCTGCGGCGACCAATATACCTTAGTAATTCCTCTTGGGCGTCCGACAGGAGGTCCAACTGAGTAGGACCTCTTTTTTATTTTATTTTATTTTATTTTATTTTTTTACATTTCTCTCTAACAAGAAGCACTTTCCAACCAGATGGGAAAGTACTACGTTTTCTAATGAATTTAGAAGGCAGGGGTGGGTCTTGCCTTATCCTGAAGGCCTGGTAGTTGCCAAACACTGCCTGTCTTACATACAAATAGCTTCTTGAAATCTTTGTTGATTTGTGAGAAGGCTGACCAGGAGACTTCCTCTCTCTCCCCGCCCCCAAACCCCACAAACAAAGCCCCAGCAAGCAGGCAAACTCCAATATGAATACATCTACAAGCTATTTTAAAGATGAAGGAGATGAGTCAAGTTTCTGGGTTTGATTTTTTTTTTTAAACCAATGGGCCATTATTTAAAAGTGCATTCTGAAAGGGTAACTATACCAAAAGACAAAGGCATCTTCACGTGTTGAATGCCCGCAGTGTGCCAAGCACTGATGTCATATTCAGTCCTCACCTGAGGGCGGTGGGTGTCACTGTCTTGCCTTCACGGAGGAGGCCACTCACAGTGATACCACAGAGGGATTGTACGTATGACGGGCACGAGACCTCCCGAGGAGTCACTGGCAGACCCAGATTCAAATCCATTCCTGCCTCTAGGTTCTGTCATCTTCCTGCTCCAGCAGTCTGCTTCCAGAAGGGGCTACCCACGGTGATGAGACCCCTGCCTAGAGACGATAGTGAGATCCAGGTCCTCTGAGCCCCCGATGTCCGAGCAACTCACAACTCTCTTGTGTTTTGGATGCAAATATATTTTGCTATTAGGGGATAACATTGGTAAAGTCCATTCTAACGTCACTTGAATAAAAAAAGCTTTGTTGCCCAGATAGTAAAGGAAAATAATTAGACTTTCTGAGTTCAATAGTAGCTCCCCATCATTTTTCCAGATGGTGCTATTTCACCCTCCTTGTAATTCCCTAACCTTCCTGCTTAGGATGCGTGAAGCAAACAAAACAACCCCGGACCTTGTGGAGGACCAGGTGTTACACATATAAGCCACCCTTTGTTTATTCCCACTTTTTAAATATTTTGTTGACCACTTTTAATAGGTAATACATACACTCACTGCAAAATTCTCACACAGCGGACCCCAACCATTTTGGCACCAGGGACCAGTTTCTTGAAAGACAATTTTTCCTCGGAGGGGGTGGGGGAGGAGGATAGTTTGGGGATGATTCAAGGGCATTATATTCAAGCTCATCCTCCGCTGTGCAGCCAGGCTCCTGACAGGCCCAGACCGGTACAGATCCAAGGCCCAGAGTTTGGAGACTCCTGTTCTAACAGAATCCTTTCTTTATTTATTTAAAAAAAAACTAAGAGGCCGAAACCTAACTTTTTTATTCAAAAACAACTGTAACCACAAATAATAAACCCTTTTCAATCTGACCAGCCAACCCCAGCACCGTGGGGCTGGCTGTTCCAGTTAGCCAGCTGGCTCTGGGAAACCCGAAAGTGCTGATCTCCAGCAGCGCTGGGGGAAGTACAGGCTCACGCAGATTCCTCGTGTTTGGTTTTGGATGGCATTTGCAGGGTTTGGGAGGGGAAGCCAATGTACCTTCCCAGATCTATTTGTCTTAGATCAGAAATCACAAGCAGCTGCAATTTCTGTGGAGGCTGTAAACTGTGTCTAAGGAGAAACTGTTGGAGGCAGAGGAAAGGCTCATCAAGATTGAAAATTGACCCAAGACAATCCGTAAATACATAAACACTTTAATGGAAGAGAGATTTGAGAGTTGACCAGAATAGTAAACAACAAGGGGCCAGTTTCTTTGTTACTTGAAATTACCAGCAGTGCCGCTGACCGTTCAGGGCTATGTCCTTGCTATTGACAGCTGGCCGTGTCTGTTTGGGAATAATCTGTTTCCCATTGGACAAGAAAGTCTCCCATTTATTCTTGGTGAAGAAGTGGCCCAGCCCTTCATGCACAGCTGTGCTTTCGTCCCCTACTCTCTAGGTCCAGTCAGTGTCTGTATATTACTCTCTCTGAGGCTGTACAATCAGCATGAAGGCCAGGCGTTCTGCTTGCGTTAAAATCATAGCGGGATGGGTTTAATTGTTTTATTTGGCCTCAGTCATATACTCCTGTCTGGGACATCTACATAGAATCTATGGGAAAAGACCGTCTCTTGAATAAGAACAGAAAGACTGCTATGGACTTGAGGAGTGGGCTGTCATCTGTTGACCAACTATTAATCAAGCACCTCTTCTTAAGAACTGATACTCTTGGGAATGCCTTAAAGACTGTTCTCCAGAAAATTAACGTTTTTAAAATCCACTGAAATTTCCAGCTCAGTCTAGTCCCTGAAGGGCTTTATGACTGAGCACCACTAGCCAACATCAGTGTAGTACTTGAACATTTGCAAGGTGTTCTTATATACTCTTCAATTTGATCATCACAATAACCCTGAGAGGCGGAACCAGCACAGTCACCCCTATTCCACAGCTGTGGAACGTGAGCAAAAGGATGTTAGGTGATTTGCCCATAATCCCATACATAGCATGATCCCACTGAGAATAAGGGACTCTGGTGGATATTTGGATTTGTAGTTTTTTTAAAGCCCATTGTACTCATTTTGTTTGGGTTCCAGAGCAAAGCAAAAGCACCTGTATATGTGCAGGCAGGCATCTTCAACCAGATTCGGCGTTCCTATTGTGATTCGTTGTATATATATGAGTGTGTATGAGTGCACGCATGCGCTTAGGAAGTAGTGGGGTTTGTCACAGATTGGATGGTAGATAGATAATAGATAGATGATACTTTTATAACACTATCATTTGAATGAAGAGTAATGTAGATCACAGAAAATTTGGACAACAGAAAAGTACAAAGAAGGAACAAACCTCACTTGTAATCCATGTTGTGCCTTTTCCTTTTAAGTTTAAAACCAACTATGAGAAGAGAAGCATTAAGGTCCCCGCCCAGCCCAACGACACGCTCGTGGGTGCTGTGATAAACAACGTGTCCGAGGCCATGCAGACGCTCTCGCGGATCACGGAGGAGATGGTCCCCGTTCCGGGGTCAGTGAATGGGGTCAATGCCCTGGGCCTCGTCGTCTTCTCCATGTGCTTCGGCCTGGTGATCGGAAACATGAAGGAGCAGGGGCAGGCCCTGAAAGAGTTCTTTGACTCTCTTAACGAAGCCATCATGAGACTGGTAGCGGTGATAATGTGGTACGTATGTGTTTCCGTTTGCCATATGTGCCGTATGCCAGGTGCTTGTTACCATCGACCTGGCTTCTGTTCTGAGGAAGGTGCCCCAGGCGGCGTGGCCTGTTGCAGGGATCTCTTTCCGGTAAGCCCAGGAAAACCAACGACTTTCTGGGGCTGGCAGCGGTCTTGAACCTGTCTGCAAGCCTCTCTCAGTAAATGTGCTTCCTGGTTTTGGAAAGGTGTCGATTCTTTTACCTCTGTGCTGATGGGACCCTATTCCTCAGTCCTCTGTTTTATATCTGCTTAGTTTTTCATTTAAGGCACATTCCTCGAGTGTCTACTATATACCCAGTATCTGTTGCATACCTATGCAATGCCAGGCTCTGTGGGTATAGCAATGAAGACAACATAGAAGAATGCCCTGGACCTTACATCCTTTTAAGGGAGACAACATAAACAAACAAACAAAAAAATCCACCATGTGCTTTAGTCTTGGGTGCTATGGGAAAAATAAAACAGCAGGTTTTATTTGATGTGATGTGATAAAAAGTGGGGGGGGGGGAGGGACACAAAATCTGCCTTGAAAGCCTCTGAGGAGGTGACCTTTTCTGCTAAGACCCGAAGACCAGGAGCAGCCAGCCACCCGATGTGCAGGAGAAGAGCACTCTGAGCAGCAGGAGAAACCAACGCGATGGCCCCCAGGCCACCGGAAAGACTGAGCCGCCCCAAGAAAGAAGCCCAATGTGGTTCTTCGGCAAGCCGGAAGCCCTCACGGGAAGCGGTAGACAATGCCAGGCCACAGCTTGTGATAAACTCCCTTCAAATAAAGTCAAGAGCAGGAGACAAAGGGAAGACTCAATCCAAAGAGGGACATTGACCTTGGAGAGTACATTCTCTCCAGCAGAGAAAGAGCCCTTTCGCTGGGTTCACCTGCATTTCCAATCCAGGCCCGTTCCAGGCACCTGGGGCAGGAAGTCATCCATTTCTAAGAAAAATGCTCACCAACATGATTAAAAATATTCTTTGTCTTCATTGCCACCAAAGCCCAGAGAAGTTCATTTTTCAGACGTCTGTACAAGACGGATATGAAAAGTTGGGCACGAAGACGGATCAGAATACAGTCTCCACAGGAGCCCCCAAACGAAATCCTGGGGGCCCTCCTTTGAATTCTTGGCAGGGCTGAAAGTGGACATTTATCTTCATAGTATTAAAATGCCTGCACCTTTCACCTCTTCTATGAAAGAGGCCCATTCAAGGCTGCTGAATGAACCTCACATGTAGCGTTTCTAGCTGTGCTTTTTGCCTGCACATGCAACATTGAATTATTACATTTCTGCAAACAGGTATTCTTATAATTTCCTGGCCCTTGTTTTTAAAGGACTTTTTAAAAGCAACACTGTATTTTTCTATTTGAAATAAGTCCTCCACAGTCTCCGGCAGGCCAGGGCGACGGCCTCTCTGGTTCTGGGAATGTGAGTTTGGCTGTCATTTGCTGCACTCGCCAGACAGGGAAGTGAATGCCGGGCAGTGGGGCCTTTAAGCGACAGGGTTGTCTCAGCCCACGCAAGTCATCTGTGTCTCAGTCCTTCATTTGTGCCGGGTCTGCAGGGGAAAGCTCCCCAATGGCAGTAGCAGCCCGTGGGTAGTAATGACTTAATTAGAACACCTGTCACCTGACTGCATTAGGACATACATACACGTTGTTAATTTTAATGGCTCTGAGTTTATTTTATGGTTGTCTTCTATTTATGGCAAATGGTACTCGTTTTCCATTTGCACTATAACAAAATTTCCTCTTCAGAGAAATGTACTTAAATAAAAGAGTTGATTTGAAGACTGCTATTAGGTACGTCGTATTGTAAGTCACGTGTGACATGGGGAAACAAATAAAAGTGGTCCTCAAAGTGGTCCTCGAACAAGAGAGAGCTGACTGCAAATCTAAAACACTGACGTCGCATTAACTTGGGCATCGGGCTCTGATGCGGGAAAGATCATTTGGGTGGATTCCGGTGGCTCAGAGCCCGTAGCAGCACAGCGGGAGCAGGGCCGTGGGTGGCATCTGAAGTCCACAAACGGGACCCAGGTGTAGCAGGAACCGTCTAGAAAAACAGGGGCACCTGTCTTTTCTCACAAGTTTAGGGGGAAACACATGTGACCTAGACAAAGACTGAGTGAGAAGAAAACCTCATTCTGCAGTATTTATATTTACGTTTCTATTTAAAAAAAAAAAAGAAAAGAAAAGAAGTTCCCAAGTCCTAACGGTACCCTGGGCAGAAATGTTTGGAAATCCACTCTTTCCCTTGTCCTCACCACTTGGTAACTTCTGCGGGTAGAAGGGCTTGCTGGCGAGCAGACTTCCGACTGTACCTGTGCTGCTCCCACACAGGTACGCCCCACTGGGCATCCTCTTCCTGATCGCAGGGAAGATTGTCGAGATGGAAGACATGGGCGTGATCGGGGGCCAGCTGGCCATGTACACCTTGACGGTCATCGTGGGCTTGCTCATTCACGCCGTCATCGTCCTGCCCCTCCTGTACTTCTTCGTGACTCGGAAAAACCCCTGGGTGTTTATCGGAGGGCTGCTGCAAGCGCTCATCACAGCTCTGGGAACCTCCTCCAGGTACGTGACTGTGTGGCTCACTCCGACCAGAAGACGTGACTCAAACATTGCTTTGCACCAGAGCCCTCAGGTTCAGAGTAACGGGACACGTTGGTGGGGGGGGGGGGCGGAAATGTGAACTTCCAGGTGTGCAAATCGCCTTTGGCACTTCCAACGCTCATCAGACTTGTCTGAGAGTCGAGGAGTACCTGGTTATACGCAAAGTGGAAATCAACCCTCCTTCCCCGCACACGGTCCTCTCCCTCTTCCAGCTGGCACTTGCCTGAGGGACAGAGGGCAGCCACTGGGCACTGGCTGTTGTGATGGGGAAAGAAGGACGAGGGATGCTTCACAGAGGAACCCAGAAGCAGGAGCGTCGCCAAATGGCCCAGGGTGGGGCCCACACGCTTCCCCACTCCATGAGTGCTGACTCAGTTCCCTCTAACAGGAAGGGACTCTCTGTCCAAACGACCACACACGCAGGCGCGGTCCGAACTGTCCGGGGGGGTCAGCTGACATGCCCTGTGTTCCTGTCCTCAGTTCTGCCACCCTGCCCATCACCTTCAAGTGCCTGGAAGAGAACAATGGCGTGGACAAACGGGTCACCAGATTCGTGCTCCCGGTAGGGGCCACCATTAACATGGATGGGACCGCCCTCTATGAGGCTTTGGCTGCCATTTTCATCGCTCAGGTCAACAACTTCGAGCTGAACTTTGGACAGATTATTACAATCAGGTACCAGGAAAGTTCTGCACAGTATTTCCTTAAGAATCGCTGCAAATGTTGAGATGGTGATCAGGGATTAGGGGAAGAAAGTGACGAGGAAGGGCTGACACATAAATAGGAGGTTGGGGTTGGTGGGAATGGTTTGATTTTTTGATATTTAGATACTTTTATTTATTTTTTAAGTTACAGACATGCACATTAATTAATAATGAAATTCTAAGAATATGGAAATCATAAGGTAAAAAGTGAAACTTGCCTGCCACCATCTCTCCCCATCTTTCTCCAGGTGATCCCTGTTGATGTTTGGGGTACAAAGACTTTGTCTTGTGCATAAACACACACACACCTTTACTTGGGATTATTGGAATCACACCATCCATAGTGCTTGCCACTTGGTTATTTACTTAGCAATATATCATCCATAAATACATCCAGCTCTGTCTCTTTGAAGAAATACAGAGAAATAGAAAAATACATCTCTGTGCAGAATATATAGCATGGCTATTTCTCTTTTTAAAAAAATCCTAGATTATCCTTGAATTTTAAAAGGCATTAAAATATGTTAGCTTTTATTGACAGTATTAGACAAGAAAACTATACTTGAAAAACTGGATTGATGTGTTCTCCCAGGTTCATTTTCAGGCAGTATAAAGTGGATGACAGGCCATCCTGACAAAGAGGTTGAGAATTTTATTTCTGGGGGGGGGACTGTTTTTTTTTAGCTATTATATTTGCAGTGTATAGTGAAAGGTGGTTCCCCCCATTCCTTCCCTTAATCGCCCAGTTTAACCCCTCAGAGGCAGCCACCGTTGCCTAATAGTTTCCCTAGAATTCTCCTGCAGAGTCCACGCATCTCCGTGTTCTCGGGTGGGCACCGTCCCTCTGAGAGTCGGCCTGCACGCAGACCAAGGAGTAATTGCAGAGGAGAGCTGCAGCCTCCATCCACATCAGACCCCTGCTCATCACTCTGTGTGTGTGTGTGTGTGTGTGTGTGTGTGTATGTGTGTGTGTTCGCACTTTATTTTTGAGGTCAAAATAAGTCAGATTCTTTTCCACAACTTTTTAGTATAACAATTGTCTCATATAAGAAAGTGGACTGGGGTGGTGGGGAGGGGTGAGGGGGAAAGGCAGAAAACTGTACATGAACAACAATAAAAAAAGGAAGTTGAAAGAATATTACAACAAATATCTTCTACCCAGGTCCAACAACTGTTAACATTTTGCCACTTTCGTGTCTTCTCTGTCCTCTCTCCTCTCTCCCCTCTCCCTCTCTCTCTCTCTCTCTCTCTCTCTCTCTCACTCTCACTGTCTCCCTTTCCCATCATGACATTCCACTTGTACACAGTTCAGCGTGCATCTGCTAAGAATAAGGTAGTCTTCTACATAAACACAAGAGTAAGAATCTTAAAAATACTTCCAGAATATCTATCTAGTCTAGACATTTAAATTTCCCCAAAGTATCTTTTATAGCTTTTTCCCCTAGACCAAGATCAAATTCAGATTTATGGCTTGCATTTGGTTTTTATGTCACTTTAATCTTTTTTAATCTTTCCTAGCTCCCACGTGTGTGTGTGTGTGTGTGTGTGTGTGTGTGTATGCACACCATCAATTATTTTAAAATGTGGTGTTAGAAAGCGATCATGGCCGAGGAGGAGATGGGCGTGGGAGCTCCTGGAGCCCCAGGCCCAGCCTGGCCACACCAGGGCTGGGAGATCAGTGGCTCAGCTCTCTGTAAGCTGCTCTCGGGCATGCCCTGGCGCTCAGGTCGAAAAGCCCCAAGTTGCAGTTGCATGTGACGGAGTGAAAAAATAATACCAACAACCACAGCGACTTCAGTCAGACCGAACTGTGTCTCACTCATGTGGAACAGCTGCCAAGTTCATTGTTCCGTCGCCCCTGGGGTGCTGCTCCCCTCACCCAGATGGTCCAGCAGAGCTGGTCACCATCTCCAAATTTTAGCCCCAGGGAAGAGGAGGAGTTGCACAGCCTGCAAATTGCTGAATCACTTTCATTCCTGCCTCGCTGGCCAGCACTTTGTCTAAAGGGGTTCCAAGGGAGGCTGGAAAAAGTAGCCTTTATTCCAGGCAGCCATACCCCAGCTACAAATTCCATTACCGTGGAAGGGGGCAGTGTGAGGGAACCACAAACAGTCTCTTCCACAGACATGTTACTTTATTACTGCTTTATATCTAGGTAATACTTTGCTATTTTTGAAACATTCTCACATTCCCACATCAGCCTATCAAATAGGTATTTAACAAATTGAATCCCAGACGGGGTATGCGCCTTACAAAGCAGGTCCGTGTTATCTCCATAAAAAATATTTATAGTGCTACAGAAATTTGTTCATGATCCTTTTGCTTTTTAGTTGATAAATCTGATTTTTTTTCTGACCCCATTAACCATACAGTCCTGTACTTGGACATAGGAGCTACTAGAAGCAAGTTGTCATTGAACTAAATAGTGTTTTAGACCTTACAACATGCAGGGTCCGGCAGAAGGAAGGCCTGCTTGAGTGGGGTTGGTGGGGCACGTGAATGTCTCACACGAGATGGACAGCAATTTGAACATTTCACCTAAAATGTCATAGGATGTGCTTCGGTAGGATATTGTTATGTTACAAAATGACATGCGTGTGATTTTAGAATAGAAGATTTTGTAATAAGAAAGGGGCGTTATTTGTGCCGGACCCTGAATTTTCAGGTACACGGAAAGTGCGTAGCCACCAGTCTCTTCATTTGGAAAGGGCCGTCATAGTAGAACCTTCTTCCCAAGGGGTGTTGTGAGGCGCAAATGAGACGAGCCATGTTTAGCATGTCAGATGGCACTTACTAAGCAGTTAATCGATACTAGGTGGTGTGATTATTAGTTCGGTGGGGCTTTCGTACAATCCCACTTACATTTTTCCAAAGCACAGCCTCTTCCGTTAACCTGGTAAGACACTGCACTGTGCGTGTTTGCAGGGTGTACTTTCTGTCTGGGGAGCTTTGTACAAATGTTTTCTGTTTGGGGATTCCTTTGAACAGCATCACAGCGACGGCCGCCAGCATCGGGGCAGCTGGGATTCCTCAGGCGGGTCTGGTCACCATGGTCATCGTGCTGACGTCTGTGGGCCTGCCCACTGACGACATCACACTCATCATCGCGGTGGACTGGTTCCTGTGAGTATGCGAGAATGCTCGGACTGTGCCTGGGCCCGCGGTCGTGGGGCACCCCTCTGCCGTTCTAGGGCACCACGCAGCCTGGCGTGCCTGCCAAAAAGGCCCCCCAAAGAGGGGCAGCTGAGCCAGAAATGAAATGGTCTCTGTTGCTTGATCCCGCCCTCCTCTGGAGACCAAGCCCCAGGCGCCATGTGCGTTCACTCCCTTATCAGCCTGTGGGGCACACGCATCTGGCTGCTACACCTCTCACTCCATAAAGCCATTCAGGGATTGGGAAACCCGGTCTGCAAAGCCAACAGCTATCAGCAAGGCCAGTCTGAATTGCACAACGACCCCAGAGCGTCTGGGACAGAACTGCAGGCCTCACGTGCTGGCTCTAGCCCTGCCTCCTTGTGCTTCCCATTCCAAAGGCACCACGTAGCACAGATGTTCCCATCTGAGCCCAGCAAGGAGCCCCTGCGGACAGTGGGAAGAGAGAGAGCCTCCTGAGTGGGCTGAGTTTGGGCTCTGGGGAAGGTTCCCTAAAAGTACCCTCTAGGGCCCATCCCCCGCCCTTTTCCCCCTCACTCTTCCAGCTGACATTCTCTGCCTCTTGGCCCTCATGAGTTCCCACCCACTTGCAAAAATAAATAAATCTCTACCCAGGATTTCCAAAGCCAATGCCTAGAAGGACACAGTAGATGCCGGAGCCGACATATGTTGACTTCACTACATCTGATGACCACGAGGAAGAGCCCGAGAGTGTGCCCAAGGCAGAAGGGCCAGGGGTGGGGGGTAATCGGAGAGCAGGAGTTCCAGAGCCACTTGGGCATGCGTTTGCATCGCAGCCCTGTGTGACGTGGGCAGGTTATCCAGCCACCCTAAGTCTTCTCCCCTGTAAAATCAACTGCTTCTGTATTCACTCAGTTGTCGGACTTTCTGAGTTGTGCTGTAGTCTTTGCAGAACTCTGCTAGACATTCTGAGGAACTGAGAGCAAAAAGGGCAGATAACATCCCAGCATTACTATGAAAATAATTTTGACCTCAGGGATCCCCAGGGGTCTCTGGACCACACTTTGAAAACTGCTGCTGTAACAGGTGAGTTGAGGAGAGAGAGTCAAAGAGAAATTTTAAATAAAAGGAGAAAGGGAGAGCCATTCCCCCAACGAGTGGTAATCTAACTAGTAACTGGAAATTAATCATCTATATGTCCTTAGCCCTTCAATAATTGCTGATAGAGGTTACGTGTCTGTTCTTTCATGATGCATTTGGAGGGCACACCAAGTAGAATTTCAGGAGGTGCTTCCGAATACTTCCCCGGGGGTTCAGAAGGTGAGCTGGCGTCCCAGGATGTTGTTCACAGGAGCCTCACTGTCCTTTCTTCCGCCCTTCCCCAGGGACCGCCTCCGCACCACCACCAACGTGCTGGGAGACTCCCTGGGGGCCGGCATTGTTGAGCATTTGTCTCGACATGAACTGAAGAACCAAGACGCTGAGATGGGTAACTCAGTGATCGAAGAGAATGAGATGAAGAAACCCTATCAGCTGATTGCCCAGGAAAGCGAAACTGAGAAACCCCTCGACAGTGAAACCAAGATGTAGGCTAACAGCAAGAACGGCTCTCTTGGGCAGCAGGCATTTGAAAGCCACGACAAAATGCTTCCATCTCATTACAACTCCTTCTCGTCAGTAAGCCCCTCACCTCCCTTCTCCTCCCAACTGTCGTAGGATTTGAAAGTCTGCATCCAAAAAAACAAGGGAGGATTTTGCAGCGGCCAAAATGTATAGTTTTCATCCCACATTTGAAAGTTTGAAGTCATTTCATGTTAGTCTTATCTACAATAAGGTACTGAGATCAAAAGTAGTCTTGGTCGGATCTTGCAAGTTCATGTGACACAGTCCTGTAAATGTGATATTTTTTATAAGTTAAGGAGTCAAACCAATAGTAGGCTAAAAATAGGCATTTAAATCGACATTCGGAACTTAGAAATCCTTCAGATTTCTTTAGAACACACTTCAGTGTTAGCATCAAAACAACACGACTCGGTAGACTGCCATCGGTTCACCGTTGGACAGAAGGGTGTCTTCCGCTTCCTGTCCTGATTTGTGTTCTTGTTTCACTAGCAGCAGGACAATATGAATTCACACCTAGCGCAGCTGTGAGCAGGTGCACAAAGTGAAATTTCCACGTGGCCACGGGCAAGCTAGGTCTTATCTCTGGGCCTCAGTGTCCTCAACTGTCAAATGGGTGAGCTCCCTAAATGTCCCTGTGGTCTCTTGTAGCCCAGTATCCTGTGGCGTCATTGCAAGAGCCTGTCCTCCATTTCTCCTGGGAACATCCTAAAGCAAGTGTCACCCTATGGAGGATGGGACCTTCAGAAAGGGCTTTATTGGAAATGAACACTTCTAAGTCAGGGGGGGATGGCGGTATGGTTTACTAGCTCCGGTGTCCAAAATGTCAGGTGTGCAAGTCACCAGGCCAGAGGCATTCTAGGAGTGGAAAGATTCACAATCTCTTCACTCACTTCTTCCCAACAGGGAAGTTTTCCCTTCTTCCTGCCTTCCACTGGACTGCTCTGGGAAGGATGTCTCCCACCACTCCTCAACTGACAATAGACTTTTAGAAACTAAAATGTAAGACTAGCAACTAGCAAGGGTGCTCGTGGTCTTACTACGGAACACTACAGAGCCAGCTAGGAAAGAATGAAACGCAGTTGACATGATAAAGAGAGGATTTTAAACCACCAAGGTTATATGTAGGTCATCTTTAAGGAAGAATTTTTTAATAAAAGAGGTTTATTTTTTTAAGCTGGAAACACGTTTTTCTCTTCGATTCAAAAACATCCCCCAAGGAAGTCTGCATATCAAAATACAAGGTTACTCCTTATATATTTTCAACAAGCCGAATGAATGAGCTCTCTCTAGTAGAGGTCTGTGAGCTGGGTGGGTGGTCTCTTATTCGAAGAGGTTTTTGACTATCGTCAAAAGCTCTTAGAATGAGGGAAACAAGATACTTCTTTGTGTTGGAATTCCACTTACCAAATCATTCAAAACCTTCAGCTGAAGTGGGGTTCGGTTTTGTTTTCTCTGGGTCCCTGAAAGACACGGTGGAAGATGAATCAGCACGAAGACATTGCCAGTGCGGTTCCAACAAAAAAAAAACAACCCGCAGGCACACTGGTTCCAGGCGAGGCAGCTCCCAGGTTCAGAGATTAATTTTGTACCGCCCAAAGGACACATCCACTCAAAGACATGGAGTGGGAGCTGTCAGACAACACCATCTGTGTTTGAGTTTCTGATTGCAAATGGTGATGAATGGACTTAATTATGCTAACAGACTGAAAATCTAGACGCATCCCCTCTGATACACAATTAGAGAGATTTTTATATAGATCCCGAGCATTCTGTGTGCACAGAAGTTAGGTTGCCGTGGAGTAGCCTTGTCGAGGCTGGGTTTGGGAAATACACTACAAAAGTCACTGTACATGGATGTCCTCTTTTGACGCCGGTAGGGCAAAAATTAATCATGTCAATTAATTCTGTTACGCGGTGTGATCTTTTTTTATACTAACCATTTCTTACGGAAAGCAAGTCCTTTAGGATGACCCTCTCGCCAGCCCATCACAGGCTCCGTGTATACATGCACCCGTGTGGACGGAGAAGCATTACCTTGTAGATGTATTTTCAATAAAGGAAAAAAAGATAGTTTTACATTATACCTTTGCATGTTGTGGTTATTCTTCTCCTGGAAGGAAAGTAAATTTTCCTCTCATGAAAGCATTGCAATGAGCTCAGGGGTGATGCTGGGAAAGGATACCAGGCAGGTTTGTTTTGGTTTTACTGGGTAACGTCTCAGAAGGACCCGATGGGAGGGCAGCCTCAAGAAAATAAGTGAGACCACACTTTCCCCGCCCAACTCCTAGAGCCGGACTGGAAACAGGAGTGGGTGAGAGAAGCCCTTGGCTGTCGCAAGCAGCTGCCCATGCTTGTCCCCATCAGATTCCCATTTCTCAAACTGAACCCTTCCTAGGCTGGCATCAAAAAAGTGAAATGCTGCCATGGGCTCTTCCAAAAAAAAAAGTAATTTCCCATCTGACTTTAAATTATGTAGATTTATCTATGGGATGATTACTGCCATTTGTGAAGAGTTAGACAAGATCTCAAGGATGCAGCAGAAACAGCCGTCGTGCTGGCGAACTGCTCCAGTCAAAACGGATGACTTGGGGATGACAGCCCTTTTCCGTCGCGCTTTTTAGTCAGTAATTGGCAGCCAATGTCACGGGCTGCCCCAGCTGAGGTCTCTGGAGACCCTTTCATCGGACCCTTTCCTGGCCTGGGGCAGCCTCTGCTAGGACACAACCCACAGGACATCCACGCGAGGACGTCAATGAATCCTATAGCCCTTGGAAAGCATGGGAACGTTTTGTGCATTTGCCTTTTTCTGCGGTAGAAATCTTTCATTTCCATCGGTTTCTCTAAAGGATCTTCTGACCAATACATGTACAACTCAGCACGATCAGTGCGTCCCCTCGTTTCCCCAGGCATCGGTGACGCCTGGTTGGCAGACGGGGCCACCGAGGGAAGCTGCTCACGGCCCGAGGGAACCGAACGGGCTCACACCACCCTGCAGGGATCCACAGGGCACACGGGTGCACACGGGTGCACACCTGGGGCATCCGGGACACCCGCCTTCGGGGAGGTGCCCCGGAGAGAGAAATGCGCTGCCGCGGCACGCTTTCTGCTGGTCACCCCTTTCCTCGCCGCCCACAGAGGCTGCGAAGCCCGCACCCGCCTGTGGAACATCCACGGAGACGTCGCTGCTGGAAGGGACAGGGTGGCCGTCCGTCAGTGTGTGGCTTGGAGGCCACGGAGGGGAACAAGCACAGATCCGCGTGTGGGAGTCACAGATCTGCTCCCAAGTGGACTCGGACATTTTTCAGGTTAGCATTTCTTAAATGTTTCTATTAAGTAAATGCCTACCTGACGAGTGTTTTAAGCCCTACATTCGGAGAAGTTGGGGTCTCTGTGCTCCCCCGCCCATATTTATCCATGCAGCACCCCTTTTCCACCCCAAGCAGGAGTCCCTCTCCCAAGCGGAGAAGTCCCGCTTTGCCAGTGAAATCCTCTTCTGCGAAGTTTTCGTTCCCGTGCACCACGTGGAAAACAGGGATTTTAACGCCAGTGATTGCACGGGTCTGAAGAGCGCTGGGAGGAAGGGCTCATTTCCGAAGGCTGGGGGCCGGATCAAGGAGGGTACTCCTGGGGGAGCTGGGGTGGCGCCGAAGAGCGCGCGCGCGCCCCCTTTCCGGACGCCTGCTGGGCACTTGACCCGGGATGGCTGGCAGTCGTCTGGCCTCGGCCGCAGCGCGGGGGAGCCCCTTCTCCACCAGGGTGGTCCCAGATCTGGGGCAACAACGACCAACTCTGTGTGGCCTGTTCCGGTGGGGGTCGGGGAAGGGGGCGCAGCCAGAGCAGTCGGGAGGTGGCAACCCCGAAGTCAGGCTGGGCATGAATGAGCCGGCAGGAAGACAGCAAGGAAGGAAGAACGAAGGAAACGGGTGGGTAGTGCTCTAAGAGGGAGAGTGGGAGAGGAGAAATCTCAGGGGTAAAGGAGGTCAGTTGTGGGGGGGCGATACCTATAGTAGCCACTAGGGGGAGCTCCAAGCTCTTCCAGAGGCAGGACTATTTCCTCTTAAACAGAATTCGCTTTAAGCGCCTATGGAATTCCAAGTCTGCAGTGCAGAGGGATAATCAGTATGTGAAAGCCGTCCAGGGGTTTCAAATTCTTCACTGTCCCCATTTCCCTTCTCCTTCTGGTCACCCCGCTTCTGCAGCGGTCTCTCCCAGGAGCCCCCTCCTTTCTGTTTCCCAGACACAGGCAGGTACTACGAGAACAGCATGGAAACATTTTCAGAGGGACTTGCTCACCATCTCCATGAGGCTGCTGTCTCACCTTGAATGTGGGAACAGTCGCATTTTACTGAACTTGCACACACACGGAAGAGTAGTAAGACACCCCTATATAAGATACAAGACACCCAGTTACACCTGAATTTCAGATAAGCAACAAAAAATGTTTCAGCATAAGGATCAAATAACCATTGTTTTCATGTATTTCCCCTGACATTGCATGGGGCAACCTGTATTTTTCCTTGCAACCCTTCCTAAAGTGAAATGAAGATTCAGTGACGTGGCTATTATTATAGGTGAAAGAGTTTGTGGCATTATTAAAAATGACTATTCAATGCTTAATTCCTCTCTGCAGGCAAAAAATAAGCTTTCAAAGGCAGCCCAGATCTGGGACACTTCCTACTATTTATTTGTTCTGGAGACATTCCCCTTCCTTATGCGCTTATACGCCCCGCGGCTGCACTCCAAAAGCCTGCTCAACCACCTTTAAGACTTCACAGAATGATCTTAAATAAATGGAACACGGTTCAGTTACCCATGCGTGAAATATTCTAAGACTCCCATCTGTCTTCCCCTTTGTTCCCTTTTCCTTTCCTTCTCTTGCTCCTTCCCCCTGTCCTCCCTTTCCACCTCAAACATAAAACACTCCCTGCAATCCATCAGGCGGCTGGGAGACTTGGCACCCACACCCTGTTTTCCAATGGGGAACACATTGCTTTTGCATTTGGGGTTCTCCTTTTACACAGGCTCCCATATTTCTTTCATATTGCACTAGTCGGAGACCGTGACTTTCCCGTCGTTGTAAAGGTGGGAATGAGGCATTTTTCAGACTCTTCAGGGAACTCCGGCATCCACGGATGGACACTGTCCCTTAAAAGACCCCTCTCGTTAAGCCCAAGCTGAAGAATATGAACTGGTGCTACAGGAGAGGGGCAAAACAAGCCCCTTATCATCGTAAACACTTTCCCAAGTATTTTCGTGCTAAAGGGAGCGGTGAATCTCCTAGAAGATGGCATCGGATGACAACTGTTGAATTTCTTTTCCAACTCAGTGGATTCGGGGGATCAGACCACGTCCTGAAGGCAGCCAGCCAGGAGCGTGAAGGCATGGCAGGAGAAAACGAAAACCATCCAGGAGTCCCGACAGCCCCCGAAGGAACTGACGGTGGCGCTGCCCCAGGGAGAACTCGGCACTCGAAGACTCTGTGAGCAGCCCACGTCCGCAAACGGTCACCAGATTCCACTGCTGCGGCACTACAGTGTCTCTGGGAGGTAGTTTCACCAAAGCCGAGGACGAGCTGTTAGCCAAGGAAGGAGGAAAATCAAGGAAGTCTGCATGTGTGTTAGAAAATGAACACAGCTAGACTGAATGTCAGCCTCCTGCTCCCTCAAACCTGAAGGCCCTCAGCTGCAGGGTGGAGGTTGGACCCACACCCACGCACGGCGGTGGGGGGAACCCACACCTGCTACCCACCGAATCCTCGAGGAGTTTCATCAGGGTCCCCGCCCAGAGCGTCTTGGCGAACCTTAGGACATCTTTTGACATCGTGGTAATGGTAGCTTTCATGGGGCTTCTTCTTCGCCGGGCAGACGGAGTGGGAAGCAGACCTGGAGGAGGGAAGGTGGGTCCTAGACTCTGACTTGCCGTGAGCCCACGTTGGTAGCCTGACCTCATCAGTCCGCGTCCCTGGGCCGCAGCAGCAGCAGCAGCAGCAGCAGCAGCATCTGTGCGTGTGGGGTTGGACGAGAACTGCAATCTCCGACCCAGCCTTGGAGATCAGGTCCCCCGCATCCTGGGGGACCAGGGGGCTGTGTGAAAAGAAAGCGGGGGTCCATGGCCGGCTAAGCATGGCAAGTGCTAGAGTGAATCCAATTCCTCAGCATGAATGGGTATAGTAATACCTTCTCAAGAGGATGTAGTGAGAACTAAACAGACGATAATATACAATTCTCGGCACAGTTCCTGTCACTTGGGAAGAGTCTTAAGATGTTTAGCACAAAACAGGCTCCGGGAAGGAGGAAGAGGCGTGGAGGTGACACTGGGGGCGGAGAGGTGGTCCGGGCTCCCTCCGGGTGCACCGTGCGCAGGACGGAACTCCCTGAGGGGGCTGCAGGCCTTCACCTCCTGAGAGGGAGGCTCTGCAGGGGCCGGTTGCCCCTGGAAACCGGCACCGAGAGGAACTGCCAGGCCTCTGGCCCAGGACAGGCGGCCAGCCCCTGCCAGACTTGTCCGAGGCCTTTGTTGGGCCCGCTCGCCCGGCAGCCCCGCGCTGCATGGAGGTTTTGTGAAGGAGACCACCCAGCTTCCTCCAAGTGTCCCAGAGAACAAAACTGCCCCTCTGTGTGCCAATGACCTCCCCTCAGCCAGGCCCCCGCCTGCCCTCCCTGTCAAGCAGAAATGGAGAGGCAGTCAGGCCCGCTCTGTGGGAACCCAGGGCCTGTGTGCTAATGAGCTGTCCCCACCTCCGGTCCAGCCACCCAATACCTGGGACGCTGCTGCCACCGTGTGGCAAAGGTCTTCCTCTAGGCTCCTGAGGGCCGTGCCAGAACAGACTTGGGAAGCACAGAGCATCCACAAGCTCATTACTGTGGACTCAAGCAAAGGCTATAGAGACAGAAAATAGTTCAGAAGTCTGAAGAGAAGAAAGGAACTCGAAGCCATCTGTGTCCACAGCAGCAATTCTCACAGTGTGGTCTGCCTGCAGAATGCACATTCTCAGCTCCCACCCAGACCTACCGAACCCCGAACGTGGAGGCAGCACCCAGCGGACCCGCCTTCACAAGCCCTGCAGGTGGCTCTGGCCCCC